TTTAACTGTTACCTAGAGAGTTTACATGACTTTCTCGGCCTGGTCATAGGGTTAGCACCAAAATCTCTCAAATACTAATATTACCTCAGAAGAAAGTTATATGATATCCACCATGTTTAAGATATTTCACCCCCAATATGGAAATAGGTAAAAACTCTCCTTAATCATTTAGAGTTCACTTTAAGCCCTTGAAAGCAGTTTCTTTGGCTTCTAGATGTATTCAGGATCATTAAGTGGCAGAACTCATTTTTTCAACAGCAAATTAACATAATCTACTGTATTGTCACACTTAACACATTTTCAAAATTTGCCAAGGATAATTTTACTATTATTCTACTTTTACTCTGCAGTGTTGAATGAAAATCTTAAGGAAGGTGTGGGTTAATTAGTAGGTAATGCAGTGATAAATACTTCTATTTGTGGTTTCATGGGGCTGGGAGCAGGTAATATTGACTATTGACATACAAGACATTTATAATATGTACTCTATCAGTTTTGGCAGTTGTAACCACACATGTAAATACTACCTAAAACAAGACCTAGCACAGCACTCTCTAGCAGGACTTCTGAAATAACAGAAATGTTTTGTATTTGCACTCTCCCATTTGGTAGCTACTAGCCACATGTGACTGCTGAGTGCTGAGTATTTAAAATGTAACTCAGGACTCTCTTGTCCCCTCCTGGCACGAGCCGGGAGCTCTGTCCTTTCACTTTATATCTACATAAAAGCCTGTATGTTGCTCTTCTAAAAAAAAAAAAAAAGTAACTCTGTGACTGTATAAATGAAAATCTAAATTCTATTTAATTTTAATTAATTTATTGAATTTTAATAGCCACATGTGGCTACTGGCTACCAAGCTGGAAAATGAAGAACATTTCCATCATCCTAGGTAGTTCCCACATCTTCTTTCTGGAAAATCCCACCTCAGTGCCTCTGTCATCGTTGAGAAACACTGAATACAGAACAGTTTCTCCTGTTCTTGGCCTTTACATAAATGGATTGATAAGGTATGTACTCTTTGTGCCTGGCTTCTGTTGATGAACATGTTTCTGAGATTCAGCCATGTTGTTACATGTATCACTCATCAGTTCCTTTTAAATGCTCAATAGTATTCCACTGTATGAACGTATCACAATTTGTTTTTCCATCTTCCTACTGATAGACATTTGGGTTGTTTCTAATTATCTGGTTTGAATGCTGCAAATATTATATGTGATGTTCTGCATTAATTGAAGGGAAAAAAGCTGCATCTAAATAACAAAAGATATTTTGGTCTTGAAAAAGATAGTCAACTTATGATTCTATTACCATCTTTCTGTGTTGTGATAAAGGAATTCCAGGTTATATATAAGGATGGTCATAAGTCAGGACTGCTGAGCAAGCAGTCAGTTTGTATTATTTAAAGAAAAATCAATTAGACAAATCTACCAGAAAAAAATATTGCAATGTTTTCAAATTCGAAATATACTTGGGTGGGCAAGGGAGGAGTTGGGAGTGCTCCAGGGAATAGTGGCAAATTATGTATAGTTTTGAATTACTTTGGCCTCAACCACTCTCTATCATTACTGATAATTCATATATCCACATAATTTCAGATCTAGTAAAGGCAATTAGTAATCTAATAGTCTAATTTCCCAGAGCTCTGCATATAAGAACTCAATAAATATTAGTTGAAATGAAACCATTTATTTCACATGAGAACTAAGACTCTACGTGTCTCTCAACTGAAGAGAATTGGATGTTATAATCAAGTGAAAAATCTTAAAACAGGTGTGATTTCTGCTTTAAACAAGGATTCACTACGATTTCAGTGGTAAGCTGCCATAGATCCATATGTAAATTTTCAAAACTCTCATACGTACAATTTTTCAGAATTAAACCAATCTCATATTAGTATTTCTTTTCATATGCAGCTTTTCCTTTTACAAACATCAATGTTAAAGTAATCTATTAGTTCTTAAACATGCAGTGGTTATCAATAGGAGGAAATAGCCTAACAGATAATATTGGGAAGGAAGATAACACAAATTTATAAAGCATATAATCCATACCTAATCAGGGCTTTGTATTTTTAAATGGTTCAGATACAAATGTGTTAAATCATGTCTCTGCCAATCCAAGCTGAGAGCAACAACTATCCAAATTCAAAGGACACACATTTTAAATTCATAGATACTGACTTAGAGCATTTTACAGACAGGACCTATGTCTGTCTCATATTAAGTACTCAACAAATAATTAGTGCCTTGACAGTTTATTGAATTTGTCAAGGAATATACGGTATTTTTTGGTTAGGTAACTTTTCTTAGTGAGCCCATTGTGTTTTGCTACATAACAGGTGATAGAAATTGCTGGGTCTTTTCTGTAACAATTTATTTCTGAAATATATGTACAGTGTATTTGAAAATGCAACTATGCAGCTAAACAGCCTAAAAATGACCACACATGCCATCAGAAGTGACTACAGGCAAGGGATTTCTGGGTCCTTTCGTAAATGATTATAGCACAAACACCACATGTGTATTATCATCTAGCACGTTTATGAATCTATAGCTTGAACTGATAGATTGGCTTGGGTATCAGCTTCTTTCAGTGTGGTGGTAACATTGAAAACTTATTATAGTCATCTCACTAGGGTTAGAAGTCATGCCATCAGTTATCCTAAAACGGAAAAATATCCTAAATCCTAACTTTTTTAGAACTCAAGGAAACTGATCTATTTCTAACTCAGGAAAAGGCCAAATAGGGAAGTAGGTTAAAAAAAAAAATCTCTTAAGCAGTTTAAAACTGACGTTACAATGTCTGCACAAACATCACACACTTTTCCTAAAGGGGAGCTCACCAAAGTACCTATTTATATTCTTGAGACAGTTTTGCTCAGGCTTCCTTATATCTTGCCTGCAGATTAAAAGCAGTAAATTAAAAGGGTGGCGAGGTAACAGAACTATGTTCCCTGAATGCAGTAAGAAGCAACAGCTGACAGTGAGGGCGGGGACAGGCAAACTACAACAGACAATAGAATTAAAAAAGCAAAGCTAGCTGTATAGCGTGAGCAAACTGTCCGATACACCATTACAGGAATAGAGGACTTATCTCTAAATGTAATTAAAATCAATATTCATAATGACTACCAACTTTCACACTGGAATGCATACCTTATTTCCCATGTGTATGTCAAAACAATCATTCTAAATCTGAAGCGTTAACTGCTATTGGTCACATTGTCATTTGCCTCAGACTAGAAAAGCCTACTACCAAGGTGGGTCATTAAACATTTTACCTTTAGCACTGTGCTCACCACTACGTTATAATACACTGTAAGAACGTTTAAGATGAGATTACCAAACGAAAAATTATTTTTTTAAGAAGATATTTGAACAGTTCGTTCCCCAAATACTGACATCCCATGACACAGAGCCGTAAAATAAAACCTTTTGAGACTCTCTACCTGTTTTCCTAAAATGAGGATGTTTCATTTGTTAAGTGTGTGGTGAAGATTAAATGAGATAATGCATGTAAAACACTAAGCACAATGTCTGGGGCTGTGTAAATAGCTCAGTAATGGTGGCTATTATTATTTTAGCACCGTGAATATATGTGAGCCCAAATAGCTTATTTTGCAGGTGCAAAAATTAAGCCTCAGAGGAGAACTGACTTTCTAAGGCTCTACTTCTAATGCTATTGTCTTGGAAGAGCAGCTTTGCCCCAAGTATTGGCGGTTTGGGGTACTGGCAGGGCCCAGGGGCATGTGCCTGCGTAACTCCAGTCTGCAGAGAACTGGACCAGTATGTTTGAACCGTTAAGTATTAGAGACTGTGCAATGCCGACGGGTTCTAGGTAGCCGGTTGTGTGCTAACATCGCCGTTCGTCTATCTCAACACATCCGTAAACAGCAAGATCCTCAGATGTCTCAGCAGGTTGTCAAGTAACCCGGGCAGAGCTGGTGGCAAGTAATGATAGTGGGTGGAGCTCAAATCAGCTTTAAAGAGGGACTAGCACTGTGCTCAAGGGCTGACACGGGAAACTAGAAAGTAACAGGGTGCTATCCCAGGAAGGTGTAAGTTACCCCACTCTGAACGCCTTTCGCGGATGGGGGCCGCCTGCGTTTTCTCAGCTCCAAAGGAGAGCCACTTGATACTCCTGGTTAGCACTTACTCCCGGCCCTGCAGGCAGGGAGTGACGACCTCGTCTCTCGGCTCCGGAGAGAGGGCCGGGCCACCTCGGACCTTCCCCTCTGCGCGTCCCGTCGCCGCGGGACCGCGGGACGCGGCGGGCTGCCCCCACGCGTTCCGGGCCCGCCTGCTCTAAGATGGCGGCGGATGCAGCTCTCTCACGCCCCGCCGCTCGCGCTCCTCGGAGTTGTGCCTCGGGAGGAGGGAGCGGGCCCGAGCGCGGAAAGGAGAGCAGGCGGGCGAAGGCGGCTTGGACTCTCCATTGCAGCACGGGCCCCACAGCCTGAAGAGCCATGGCAGGCTATACACCATACCCTCTATCCGCCACGCCCCGGAAATTACGGTTTAAGTATGGGGGCGGGGTCACTGTTCAAAGCGGATTCGATCCTCGCTGTAGCCGGTGTCCCTCCAAGTGTCTAGAATCTCCCTAAATATGCGTTCTTCCGGGTTAGTCGTTACCATTCTCGTGGCTCTGGGGTTTCTTTGCACAAAGCTGGCTGCTGGGCCTGGCAGCTCGTTTCACAGAAAGTACCCTTCGCGTCACGCTCTTAACTCCCCCTCCTGCTTCGCCAGCGCCTGTAGTAGCGTACCTCCACTGGGACTCTCGGGTAACCCGCGCCCTCGGCAAACCCAGGCGCCTCTCGGCGGAGGCTTTCCTCGGACCCCGCCTCGCGCCCCCGCCCCCGGGGTCGGCGCTGTCGGTCACGGCGCTGAGCCCGCCCTTTCCGGCGCCCACAGGCCCGCCTCCTCCCCTCTTCCCTCCCCACCCCTCCCCTTGCGAGTGTCTCCCTCTCGCTCTCGCTCGCTCCCTCTCTCCCTCTCTCTCTCTTTTGTGAGTTATAGCAACCGTTGCCTTGTGAATCAAGCGCCATAGTCACCGTAGTCCTGGCGACTGTTACCCATCAACAACAACTACTCCTCTCCTCCTCCTCCTCCTCTTCCTCCTCCTCCTCCCCACCACCACCATCTCCATCACCCACCAACAACACCACAATAATCCACAGCCAAGGTGAATATTCTTCGGTCTCTACATGTGTGTGGGAGCGTGTGGATGCGTGTGGACGCGTGTGTCCGTGCGTGTGTGTGTCCGTGTGTGCGAGCCGAGCGAGGCTGTGCCGGGGTCTCCCTCCTGACCCCGGGGGCTGCCGCTGCGGCGCCGCCGCCGAGGGGCTGAGTCCCCGAGGCTTGTTTACAATGGAGCGCGCGCCGCGGCGGGGTCGGGGGTGTGGGCGCCCGCCGCCCGGCCGCCCGCCCGCAGCCCGCCGCCCCGGCCCTCCGCCGCCGCGCTTCAGGGATGCAGCGGGAGCGCGGGGGGCTGCGCGCCGAGCGGGAGAGGCAGCCACAGTTTTCCGCCGCGGACGGCGGAGCGCTCCCCTAGGTCGGGTCTGAGGAGGAGGGTCAGGTGAAGAGAAGGATTTATCCCTTTCTGTAATTTTCTACTTTTTTAAAAGCTTCTTGTTTCCTGCTTCTTTCAAGATCGAAACAGACAACAGTGTGCAGGGGGTACCCAAGAGGTGGTGTTTCGTTGTTGTTATTCACTTGTGGGGCCTTGTTAAAGGTTTTGTTATTTTTATCCTCGTACAACGGTGAACTTTTCTCGCCGCCTATTCCCTTCATTTTGCCCCCTCTTCGCCGTATGCTTCATGGACTGACCTTTTACCACCGGCATCTACAGGCTTTTCCTTTTTCTTTTAAAACTGTGTTTTCTTTGTGTTGCAAACAGTTAATATCCATTCAGCAGTCTTCCCTCCCCCTCTTTCTTCTCCCCCCACACCCCTTGCACACACATTGAAACCAGGGGCCTCTTCGCTGGGCTCTTTGCTTTACTGGGAAAGATTTCTTTTTTTAAGTCCCTCTCCTCTTTCTTTTTCGGGATGTGTATGTGTGCGTATTGTGTGTATTTGTGTGCTTGTGATTTAACCCAGATGCAGGGCATCTGTGCTACTTGGGTTAGTAGTTATTGACAGTGCTTTATCCTTCAGGAGGGCAAGGGAGGGGTAGTAGTGAGGTTCCGTATCACTTTGATGAACCTCCTTCGCCACAGTAAAGTGTTAATTTTCATTGTGGTTATGAGACTTTGTATGTGATAGCAGGGAAAGGATGTACATAAGGAAGCTTTGTGAGAATTCACTTTACAATGTTATTTGTGACAGTTATGGTACTTTAAAAGAGTTTTTTGCATCACCACTGCTCGGTCCTTTGAGAGTTGAAATTGAAGTCAAGTTGTTCATAAAGAATGTATGAAGCTTCTCAACTTGAAACGTGTGTATATTTCACTTTCTTTGTGGTTGTTACGATCTAGGCATGTGTGTACTTAACGAGTTCTTTTTTATTTACTTTTTTATTTTCTTTGGACAGTGACTTAAGTCTTCTGAAGAGAGAGAACTTTTTCCTTTTCAAGTATTTATTTAAGAAATCTATTTTTCTCTGTAGCTTTGAATACTCACCAGTCCTCAAGTAGTAGGGCTCCTGTTTAGAGGTAACCCAATTTTACAGATCCTATAAATTTCTTCGTTTTTCAACTTACCATTAACTAATAGATTATCTGTAAAGAGTTTTGATAATGAATGTGGACTAAAACAAATATAATGTACTGTTGTATTTGCACATATTGAAGTTCCTGATTTGGATTTTAGAAATACTTATTTAAACAGTCTTTTTTCTAACAGCAAATATATTGATTTACCTGACAGAGCAGCCTGTGAATAATGTGACAGTATTAATTATTCTTGAGATTGTCAATGAGCACGCTGGGTAATTGTAGTGCTATAAAGGCTAATATTTTGTAAAATAGGAGTTGGGGTTTTTAAAAAAAACTTTTCCTCCTTCAGTTCATTTTCTTGTGATTGCTACTTTAAATGAGGATCTTGTTCTGAAAGATGTCTTTCTCAGAGCACTCAAATTTCTTTTTATTTATTCACCCCTTCCCCAACTTGGCTTCAATGCAGATCTCTAATACTAACTTGCATTCTTTTTTTTTCTGTTCAGATGAGTGTCAAATGCCTGAACACTTTTGGATGGTGAAGCTCCTGGGTCCTATAAACTCTCTCTGAAGTTAATAGGAGTTTTACTGTCTTGAGATAGTTTCAGACCTTATGCAATTTACATAATAGGTTTTCAGTCATGTAGATTATATGTTATAATGTTATGGTTTAATATTTTTATTTACAGTGTCCGAGAACTTTTGTGACGCATTTCACTCATTATAACTGTCTCAGGTTTTCTATAATTCAGATTTTCACTCACAAGTTGACTTGAGAGCAGAACTTGAATTTTATTATCCATTTGTAAAAGCACATTTGTGGTGTAAAAGTAAAAGCTGGCTGTTAGAAATGCTTTGGGCTCAAGTATGTCAACATTATTTATGTAGGTTGAGTTAATAATAACCAGAAATACTAACAAATGATCAATTTAAAAATTAAACACAAGGATAAATACAGTTAGTGTATTCTTTCTGATATTTTTCCTAGGAAGGACTGTATTACATATTGGTATTGGTATTCTCCTGTGTTCTTGGTTTTTAAACTAAAAGAAATCTGTGAAAGTGGCAGTGCTTTAAAAAACTTGAACTATTAAATAGGAGTCATTTACAACTTGTTTTGAGTAGCTGAATATCTGTGATTCATTTAATGTCATGCCTATCTCAGTTTTCTAAGATTGTTTTGCCTATGAATTGCAGTAAACAGTATAGGCATATTTATGTAACATTTATATGTGTAATATAGTAAAGTAAAATGCACTGCTAAAATGAATCATTCAGTGTTTTCATTATATGTGGTAGTTACGTCTAATGTTAAAAATAATGTATTATTCTTGCAATATTCAAATAGTCTTGCTCTCTACTTACTCAAATAAAAGATTTGTAGTTTATAAGCTTAATATACTTTAACCAGAAACAAACGTTTTTCTTACTCTAAACAAATTTAGTATGGTTAACTTTTTGCTATTAAATGAGCAACTAAAAAAATGAATTATGAATTAAGATAGATTCAGTTTATTAAATGATATGTGTTGCTTTTTGGTAACATATTTCATTATTCTTGAGAAAGTTGATTTTATGTGTGCTTTTCTCAAAACTTCCAATGGAAGAAGTCAGTAGGTGGAGTATGATTTTCCTTTTCAAATTATACAGTGAGTGAGTGAGAGAGAGAGAGAGAGAGAGAGAGAGAGAGAGAGTGTGTGTGTGTGTGTGTGTGTGTGTGTGTGTGTAAGGGTGGATATACCATCAGATGTGTGGGAAAAGTTAAAAAAAAAAACCCAAAACTTTCCAAAAGGTCTAATAGGGATGTTACTTTGTTCTTGGTATCTATAGTGACACTATGTTACAAGAAAATAGACTACCATAGAAGTGAACTTTTAAATTAGTATCTTCACAGAAGTGAATCTTTACATTATAAGGATATGCTTGTTTTTGTTTTTGTTTTGTTTTTTTTTAATACTGAGCATTAGGCTGAAAATCCTCTACTTCCAGTGACTTTAAAAATACTTAGTTTTCCTAATGGAATAATTTGCCTTTAACAATTTGGTATAGATTATCAGTGGCAATTGCTAAACATTTTAAATTACTCTGTTCACAGGTGCATAGTGTTCCCATATTTTGGAAATTCAAGATTAAGTGTATTCAACTAAATCTAGCTTGTTAGGGACAGATGGCTGCTTTAAACAGGTGTCACTTTCATTTCTAGTGCATTGTGTTGGGACTTCCAGTGGTTCACAAAAGGTCTGTCTAAAACAGGTGGCATCCCTTGCTTTTGTCCTTAGTAAAATATATTTGGAGTTAATTGTTTTCCTAGGAAGAGTTTTTTTTTTTTTTAGTAAAAACTTTGAAGTATTCAAATTAAGATTTAATTGACATAACTGTTACTTCTGAATATGATTCTATTTTCAAATTATGTAAGTTTCAAACCCTTTCACAAAACACTTAAAAATTCTTAAAAGTAATGGTATATTCCCTTTGAATACAGAAAAAAGAACTCAGGGGCACTTTATACAATCAGATTTATCTGAAGCAAAAGACCAAGGCAGATTGAAATAGACCAAAATTTAGTTAAAATGACAAGTTATCTTTTACCATTCTGTACTTAAAGAATTTTTTTGAACAGCATTATTTTAATTTGAATAACTGTTGGAAACCAGTATTGTTTCTGTTCATTATTTTAAATACTCTCAAACTAAAACATTTTCCTGACCTTAAACTTCAGTTTTTGCTATAAAGTTTTTAGTGCTGTTTTTAAGTGAAAATTGTTTTAAGCTTCAATGTTTAAAAATATGTACTGAAGTAAATTAAAGAGTGTCAACCTATTGATTTCTAAAGTTCATTTTTATTCTGATTCTACCCTTTTTTTTTGTGGGAATTTTCTACCTCACTTAACAGATGCACCAGAGGGTGCTGTGCTGTTTGCAACATGAGATTATTATCACTAAGAATATTAACTGAATAGAGCTTTTAAAGAAAAAAATCTAATTATATATGTATTTAAGTATATATAATGGCTTTATTTTTATGGGGTTTAAATTTAATGTTAAATTTAATACTGTCTTAATTGGCAGTTTTATATCAAAGCCTGTCTGTACTGATAAATATTAGTAACAAAATAATATCGAGATGGATATGTTTGGCATAGTCTGAATGTCAAATCTTATAAGCATATGTACTGATCATCATATGCAGGTATTTCAGTCTCAAAAATTAGTTTAGTGTAAGAATCATACTATTTTGGTGGTTGGCTTTGTACTCTAAATTTGGTATTGTTGGCACATAATATATTGTATATCCTTACAACATTTTTGTAATGCATAATTAGTGATATGCTTTTTATATTTTTAAAAAACGCTATCTCAAAAGTATAAATGGTAATAATAGTTATCAGGCTAATTAAATCAATAGTAATAAGAATTGTCTGGAGAATTCAGTTCCCACTTATGCTGTGGAGTAGTCTGGTTTGAATATTTAATTTGGCTTTATTTTCTGAAAAGTTTAAGATTCTCTGCCCTTACTCTGTGCTATAT